TGTTTCACGTTAACGATTCAAACGACAACAAAACAAACGATTCATTCGCGAATCGCTCATCATCACTACAGACAGTCAGAGACAGAACAATGGCAGGTCGGAGACTTACATTTTTGCAATGGATTCTTGTTGTTCCGAATTAATTACAGAAAACAAGTGGATTGCCGTTAAGTGCGAATTAAGCACTGTTTCCTTCCAACAAGTCAAAGATAGCAAAATTGTCACTTCCTGATTAAATAGCGGCAAATATAAATAGTAAAAACGTAATTTAAAGTGGTAGGAGAAGCTACGTCAATCTTGTCTTAATTTAATAAGAGATGCATTTTGTTTAACTTTTTATTTCTATCTTATGGTTCATATTTTTATTGTTTTATTGCATCTTTTATTGTTGTGCTGTTTTGCTTGCCTTGTGTTCTAGTATTTTGCCTGTAGCACTTTGAGTATAAGAAAAATGCATTACAATTTAATATTATTATTATTATTATTATTATTATTATTATTATTATTATTATTATTATTATTATTAGTTTATGTGCAGTTTTTTCTTATCGAATAAAAACACAAAATGTACAAAAGTAGCAAACACATTACTTTACATGCTTTCATTAATCTGTGAATACAGCATGTATTGCTCTGGGCTCAGAAAGTTAACAAACATATAATTTTATCCTACATTTTTTAAAGGAAAATTAAAGTATAGGTTATACAGTATGGCTGGTTGTTAAATGCAAAGCTTCTCTATAAATAAAAGTGAAAAAACACCTGCAAGTAATGAAAGAGATCAAACCAGCCAGTAAAGGAAAATTATTGCAAAATAACCCAAAAGTAATATATCGGTTTACTTTCCATAAAAAGTAACTAAATAGCACAATCAGTTACTTTTTTGGAGGAGTAACACAATATTGCTCGGCACTACTTTCTAAAGTAACTTTCCCCAACATTGATTTTAGTTTATTTCCACATACTTTGGACTGTTGCAAATTATATCTTACTAAAAATGTACTGAAATATATATGACAAACAAACAAATAATAATTCAATGAAGCCCTAATCAGAAAAAAAAAAAAAAATAACAGTTTTAACAGTTTCATAAACAAACTTGACGGGAGGTTCGCTGCAAAATACATGCAATAAATGTGTCCATCTAAAACAGGGGTGTCCAAGCCTGGTCCTGGATTGCCGGTGTCCTGTAAAGTTTAGTTCCAACCCCAATCAGACACACCTGGACAAGCTAATCAAACCCTTCCTAGGCTTTCTAGAAACATCCATGCAGGTGTGCTGAGCCAAGTTAGAGCTAAAATCTGCAGGACACTGGCTCTCCAGGACCGAGTTTGGACACCCCAGGTCTAAAAAGTGTGAACTTTAATTCATCAAAGCCTTGTTACACATTTAAAGTATATTTATATATTTTATAAGAACTATGCCTCAAAAGAAAGCAACAAAAGAAAAAATCCTTGCAAATTATCATTACCAAGAAAATGCATTAAGCACTAGTAACACATAAATAATTTATCATGCGAATCTGAACTACTTAACCAGACATTGCACTCAAACTAGCACAGATCGGGCATCATTTGTTATTAGTGTCGAATCGCTTAAGAGGGTTTATAAATAATTGAAAAGGCCTTTCTGCATTCTTTAACATTTGCCTGAACACTAAGTTACATTTCATTACTTTGCCATTTAACTGACAAAAAAAATCACCTGGACCAACCATGAGTAAAGTTCACTGCTCGGGGGCTCAACAGTGGTTACTAATGAACCTTTAACAGTTGGAATCTGCAACTTTCCTTGCCTCCCTTGAGCTCATTCTCGCTCCCTAAAATGTTAAGTGAATTTGAAGGGAGGTCGCTGCAAAATACATGCAATAAATGTGTCCGTCTAAAAAGTGTGAACTTTAATTCATCAAAACCTCGTTACACATATAAAGACAAAAAAGCTTAGGAAAATATATTAGCTTATCAGAAGTCTCTCAAACCCTACTTTAAAGGTGGTCTGATCAACTCCCGCTGTGAAAGTGTATCAACAGCATGCAATTGAACTCTGTCGGTGAGACCATATCATAAGACATTAGCATTTAATAGACTCTATTAAGTCATTACATGTTCCATTTACTTTAACTGCATAATTCTGAACTCTAAGAAGGACACAGAGACTGAAACTGAAAGAGTGCGTGTGGTGAGAGAGTGAAAAAACTGGACAAACATTAGTTTACTGAAGTTTCATATGTCAAAGGATGACGTAAAGCTAGCCCATAACTCGTTTCATTTGACTGTTAAGCCCTGTAATAATGAGCTCACTTCGATAAAACAATAATTAGAAGAAAGTGAACTTGATTTATATGTTTCCTGCTTTCGATTTACAAATTAATGAGGGCGAGAGTGAAGTGAAACACGTAAAGCGTGTAATAAGGTATTAATCCCTGCAAAATGTTGAAGGAATGCTAATGCACACGGGTCGGTGAAGGATGCCAGATTCTGTCAGAGGAGAACAAGCAGAAATTCAACAGAAGAGATGAGAGACGTTGAAGGAGTCGTGATGAGTGTGGCGATTATCTGCAGATTCTCGCTATGGCATTACTTCACAATCAAAGTGTCGGCTCTCTGCTGTGGAACAGACTGCAGACTGAGCTCAAATTACAGCAATGCTCTTTGTCTAGCTCAATTTTAAACTGCAGAACTGAGAGAGGGGGGAAGAAGTGTAGATTTATTGGTCAAATTTTAAAACTATGAAACAGTTTAGACTGTAGACCATTAATCTATGAGAGCCCAAGGACTTTTTGGTAGACAGAGAAGCAGGGTGCTCTACTTAATGTAGTACAGTGAAACAATTGGCACATCAAATGCTTCACAAAACACTTATTTTAAAAGGATACTTTGTACATTGGTAGATATGGAGGTTAAGAGAGCTCTTGGATGTCATCTAAGATATTTTACCAAGTGTGTTCTGAACGATGAATGAAGGTGTAAGGGTATTGCTGCTGAGTATTTAATAATTTCTTTTCAGAACTAACCCTTTAAGATAAGATTTAGCTTATATATATATATATATATATATATATATATATATATATATGTTAGAAATGTAAAAATGCTTTTTCTTTGATGAACCCCGATGCAGACATGAACAATTCTGTCTCGGTTCAGTAACAATTATAAATGGTTTTTATGTACAGATGTCATTTATCACATATACGTTATATGGCGGAAGCTTACTATGGCAAGGGAGGAGACTGTGAGTTATTAAAATGCTCCAACTACTTAAAGATAAGATAACTGTGCAGAATTCACTGCTTGTGAGTTTGCTGAACAGTCTTTCACTGACAGGGAAATACATCAAACCCAGCTATGTATACAATGAAAGCTAAACTGTTTTTCTCACTCTCTGTGGCCACTTTGACTCTCGGCTGTTACAACAATGACGTTACTTGTGAATGCAAACAAGAGCGTGTCTGCATAGCAAGTTTTCTCCACCGCATTGTTGTCTTTAATGGATCAGCTGATCACCGCCACCGTTTAACATCAGTGTCTGTGTCACCATTTACAGCGCTAGAGTCATGCTGACCCTCAATTGCAGCCTTTTCTGTTGAGCATGTGATCATTCATGGGCGTTTAAGAACTTGGTACAGTACATATATCTGACTGTGTTAAAGGACAAAAATGTATTGCAAATAATATATAAATAAATTTATAATTTGTAAATGTTATGGCAAAAATTATTGTGTTGCTAAGTAAAATATTAAATTGTTTACAGAAAGCATTGACAATGCACCATGATATCGAATTGAACTGAATCGATGGCATGATAATCGTAACTGAACCAAACCGGTTCACACCCCTTATATATATTACATATTTCAATTATATTTTAACGACAATAAATAAATAAATAATAAATAATAAATAAATAACATTTAAAAATATGTTTTTTTGTAAATAAATAAACTATATAATATAGTAAAATATCTAAAAATAATACAATACTAATATAAAATAAAACATTTAGAAAATTGATTAATCTTTAAAATTGAATTTAAATATTTAATTTACTTTTAATTTCCAGTAAATTACTAATTTATTAACAAACCTGATTTTTTTATTTTTTATTATTGTGGATATTTATGGTTTGCTATAATATCACAATTATACTGTAGTAGGCTGAGATGAATATTTATGTAACTGTGAGCAAGCAACTGAGGCTTAAAAAAGAGACAAAAAGCTGGTAACAAATTTGGCCAGCAGGGGTTAAATTGACCATTCAACTAAGACTTGACCTCTCAATGGTTCAAATCCTGGTAATGCTTGCCATTAAGGAGAAATGGAACCTAAAAGGGTCAACACTCCCACTTAAAAGCTGAAAGTCTTGTATAAAATGTCACTCTCCCTCCATTAACCCAGTCATAGCCTCAGCTTTTCTAATGGCGCAAGTAGATTTGATCCTGGTGCGTTTGCATTACAAGACTTCATAAGCGATTGGAAAGCACCCAGTAGTGCTCCATCAAAGCAAAACTGGGCGGTAAAAGCGCTCGGTTCTCCTCAGTAACCTGCGCACTTACACTTAAAGTGACTCCATCCATCATGGCACTACATCATTTCCGTCAGTGATCATGTAGGAGTTTGGGGAAGTGGAAAGCATCAGGATGTGTTAGTGACCTATTGGACATCCAATCAGATATCGACTAATGCAGACAGAAGAGATTAGATAAATCTGATTGGCCGATCCTCCAGTGATGGATGGGGCGTGTCAAAGAGGTTGTGTCCTCTTTCTCATAACAGAGTGCCAATGGGGCAGTTTGTCACTGAATATCGAGGATATAAAGCTTCTATGGACAATTAAGAAGTGGACGTTCATTAAGTTCACGTTTTTATGACTTTGCTCTATCCTTTTGTGCATTGTGCCTTTCTTTTTTTTTTTCTCATCCTCGAACTCTTTTACCCCCAGCTCTCAGTGTGAATCACACACTGAATGATAATGTGATACATTAAGAAAGCATGCCTTACTTCAGGTCTTGGAATGGTTCAGCTCGAACGTGTGGCGTTTCCACTGAATGACTAAACACAACTCCCTCGTTGCCTAGAGAGGTAAAGAGAAAAACACAGAGAGTGACAAATCAAATAAGAGTTGCAATTGAAGCATTGGAGAAAACAAAAGTTGTAATTTGCATGTTTAAATGCGTCTAAAACAAAAACAGTTTTTGAATATTAGAACAGTAAAAAATATAATACATTTAATTTGATTTCATTATTTTTTTTTGTTTATTTGTTTTTCTTCACCTTCACATTAAAATAAGTCCAGTTTCATACATTTGTATCATTTTTTACTAAAGGCATCCATTAAAGAATTATTGACATATTGCATAAAATACTCATAACATAACAAAATAAAATAGATAAAATACACTTCTCAAAATGAATGCATTACTTGTCATTCTTGTCTGGGTTTGTAATTTTTTAAATAATTTTAAATACAATACAGAACAAAACAAGTATTTTGGTTGTAATGTTGGTCAAATACACTTAAGAGTTTTTTTATGGGAATAATAAAATGTATACAACACACACAACGTGTGGTCTTCAGTTAATGCGCTTTTATGCTTTCCAAACTCCTAAAACAGAGGTTTGAAAAATCAAGAGATACAGTATAAGCACTGTGGATTGGAAGAATTTAGTACTTTCCCCCCAGATCTTTACTTTCTTTTAATTTAGAGCATTCACAACGTCCCCAATTTTATAATTTTTATTTTTTTTAAATGTGCTTGTTGAGTGAAAATTTTAATTATGTGTTGTACTACCTTGCTTTATTTATTTATTTATTTTTTTTTTTGACAGTTTCTGTCCTATTTTTCCCTCTTATTTTTTTACCCACAGTCATGTCTGGAAAAGCTTAAAGTTATAGTTCACCAAAAAAAATGTGAAGTTTATAAACTAATTTTGAGAGGAGCATGTGATATGATTAATTGGTCTCTCATCCACAATCATCGATAAACCAATCAGATTAATCCAAACCTACAATAAACAGTAGGATTATGTAACGGAAATCAGGCTCGATCAAAGTCGGAAGTTACCTCCCTATTAGGACTCGAATTGATATATATCTCATTATTTTATAACACATCAATAGGTGGCAAAGAGTTAGGTCTCTTTCTTGACTTTACACAGAAACAGCATCGCATGCGGCATGACAAGACTTTGTTGCAGAGACACTATTGGTTAAATTTCGGCAAAGTAGAATACGGAAGCAGCTTGAAGTGGAAAGCTTAAGTATGCCTGCGGTCTGGAGGTATTATAAAGTTGAAGATGATGACAACAATAAAGATGAAAGATGATGACTACAATGCCATAGCAAACTGTGAGATATGTCAACTTAGGATTGCCTGCCGGGTATTTTAAGTTGAGGTACTGTTCAAGCTACCTCACAGAAGTGCTCTGTTTGTCAACAGAGTTGTTAAACAGTAAAATAAGATGTATTATATATATAAGATGTATTATATATATATATATATATATATATATATATATATATATATATATATATCCTGGATATACTTCACTCTTCTTTATTCTTTTTTATGTATTATAGAAGTATCGGATCAGGTTTCAGTATTAGTAGATACTCAAAATCAAATGACTCGGACTCGAGGTAATAAAAACAAAAAAAAAAACAATCAGGACATCCCTAATAAACAGCCCATTTCAACAAACTTTCCTTATCTTTGTTTTGGAAGATTCCACACCCCCCACCCCTGCCCACCCCATCTCCTGATCTTCTTCTTTTACCAGAGTGAGCTCTCAAGAACTATCTGATTTCGGACCCACCTATATGCTAAATGACCAGGCCGGAGCCTTGGGCTCAATTATCTTTGAGCTGAGGGTTCTCTCTCTTTGACAGCCTGCCAAACCTGCAATTAAAATCAAGCAATATCTAAGTGTTAACTCTTGAAACTTATTTGCTTAATTTACACATTTCAGTTTGGTTTAGATGGAGAACATAATATAAACTTAGAAAAACTAATTATTTTTTATAAATTTCAATAAATGTTAAAAGTCAAAATGAGCCATTTTTTGACACGAATTCAGAGTAAGAATTGTTTAATCTCAAATTAAATATTCCTTTAACACACTACTCTTTCTTTCCATTCACAATTCTTCTTTCTGTCACATTTTAGCCTTTCAGTCTCACTCCTGAAGAAGCAATACATTTCACTTATGCATGCTCTGTCTATCTTTTTTTCCTTCCACCACTATTTCTCTCCCTTGATTCCTCTCTACACCCATGTCTTTTTTTGTGAAGAGGTAATGGACAGATCTGCCCAATTACTGAGCATGTGCCCTCTTCGTCCCTGACCTCTAGCTATTCCATTTGACCTCCCAGCAAGCTTTTTCAGAAAGAGACAGAAAAAAAAGAATCAGAAGAGTAAGAAAGAGAGAGAGGCGCCTGCATGAGTGAAATCTATTTGAATCAATCTATTTGCATTTCAATGTGAGGTCAGGTTACTACTACATATACGGTGGATATTTAAATATTGAAGAAAAAAAAGACGGCCTAAAAAAGGATGTATAAATAACTCTTTTAAATGTAACACCTTTTATTATTTTTTTTTTTGGGGTTTTGCAGTTTCAGTGCTTGGCTGTAATATGTAAGTGTTTGCTAAAGGGAAAAAAATAATAATTCAGGAACAACCTAATTGTTTATAAGCGAGTCGTTAAATCTTTTATTTAACTGATTGATAGAAAACACTGATTCATTCAGCTACTGTAACTAATTGTCATCTGTTGTCCTGTTTACATCTGCTAGCAAAATACATATTAGTAAAACTGATCACAAATCAGTGCCATCATTCAACTGCATGTAAACACAGTTACTATCAACCTGTTTATTGAACTGATGTATGAAAGCAATATCACACATTGAGAGTGATTCATCTCTCTCTCTCTAACACACACACCCATCTCGAGCTCAGCAGGTTTACTAGACTTATGACACCTGACTGTATTTTTTGACAAATGTAAAACAATTACCTCAGTAAAGTCTTATTACTGACTTTGATTTAATGGACAATATTTAAATTAAATTGCATGCAAATCTGCAATCTTATTTGGCAGATAGTATCAGTAAAGTAGCTGGACATGTCAAAAACAGAAATGGGTGTCCATCAACTGAAAGCACACTGCCATGATGACAACTCTGTTGATTCTAATGGGATTGGGCTTGTTTTACATGTCAGGCATCTGGTGTAGATACGCATAGCCAAACTTTTCTGACAGATACAAGCATGCAAGGTATGATTTATTCTAGAGGATTGTGATTACATCTTTCAGATCTGTATGAAGCCATAGGAAGTTGTAAATAAAACAAAGATCCTCGAAGTATGTTTGCATTTTCACTGCAAAAGTTTCATATGGTGTGTGGTTATTTTATTTTATTTTATTTTATTTTATTTTATTTTATTTTATTTTATTTTATTTTATTTTATTTTATTTTATTTTATTTTATTTTATTTGATTTGATTTTTAATGTTTGTTAATTAATTAATTAATTTATTTATTTATTTGTTTATTTAATTTTATTTTTTTAATCCTGGGTATAAAATTAGTGCAGTAGTGAGACTATGGTCTATGTTCTTGTTCATGGATCATGTATAAAAGTAAGAAATATATGTGAGTGTGTTTGCGATACCTGTTACTCTCAGTTTATCTGTGCCAATACTGATTTCTTCTTCATCAGCAGAGAAAAGGACTCTTTCCCCATCACTGCTTCTCACCTCGAACCGCTGACATTGAGCTTCCACCATCTCTGAGCCTATAAAGAAAAAAAAAATGTAATAATAAAGACTTGATGAATAAGATCAGATTAGACCTTTGTGTTCCACATAAAGTCCATATATAAAATAAAATAAAATAAAATAAAATAAGGTGTTGTTAATATTATGAATTATAATAAAATACAACACCTAATTAATAAATGCATAATAAATAAATACATAATAAAAACATACATAAATAAATAAATAAATAAATAAATAAATAAATAATAGTTCAATAATAATAGTTCAATAATAATAATAATAATAATTATTATTATTATTATTATTATTATTATTAATAATAATAATATTATTAATAATTGTATTCAGAACAATACACAAATATATAGTGAGAATTTTCAGTTGCTGCTTCAGAGCACAGCTGCTAGTGTTGACAGTGGGAGAAAAGGCAGTTTGCTAATTTTCTAAATTAATATTAGAGCAGCTGCTCATTGTTTCCAGGGTGTTTAAAAACTTATTAGAGTGACAAATTATAGACATATTTGTACAAAAACATTTAATTAATGACATCTCTTCAGTAAAAAATGGTGCCAAATATAAACACTAATCAGTTGTTCAGTCTTAATGCCTAATGGAGTCCTTCACCACAAAAGAATGGATGGGGGAATGGGGGAGAGAAACATGATTTACAATGGTAAGGCAATATCCTGAACACAAAATAGCATTTAAGGATGGGATTATTTGGATCGATATATGGATGGATGGATGGATGGATGGATGGATGGATGGATGGATGGATGGATGAACGAATGAACGAACGAATGAATGAACAAATGAATGAATGAACAAGTGAACGGACAAATGAACAAATGAACGACAACCTTAAAAGAAAACACAACTCTTGAAATCAAGTAAGAAAGTAAGAAATAATTTTTCCAATTTAATACTATAAACTTTCACATGATTAAAAAGAAAGTTTACTTAAGACAGTTTGCAGTTTCATTAGCAGAAACCAGCTTCAACACTCTCAAAAAAAGTTTGTCGGCCACTCCGCTTAAAATCTTAAAACAACAACAATTATACTCTCTTAACATCATTAACTGTGTCCTAGGTAAACACAGATAGAGTTTATATTAAAGTTCATAGTAACATTCAAAGTGTCTTCTTTCCAATGATACCTATTTTTTGTTTGTAGCTGGAGTTAAGAACTGCTACTATTTAAAGTTAGGTACTGTAGGTGTAAATCCCCAAAAGTGAGTGCTGACTAACAGGTTTATACAAAATACCTTATTTCCCCATTTCATTGATGATACATTCTTATAATACATTACATTAGAAATAACTAAATAAAAACAACGAGCCTCATTAATACATCAAATACTTTCAAATGATGATTTATAATATGGTTTTACTAAATTTAAAAACAAAATAACAATGTTCTGATTTGTATTTCTGCTTAATAAAATGTGGAAAGAAAGAAAGAAAGAAAGAAAGAAAGAAAGAAAGAAAGAAAGAAAGAAAGAAAGAAAGAAAGAAAGAAAGAAAGAAAGAAAGAAAGAAGAAAAAAATAATGTCTTTCATCTTCAGAGAAAGAGCTGAAGTTGTCTTTTTCTCATGGGTCCGAGACACAAAAATAAGCATGAAACTGATCCTGACTTTGTTCCCCAAAAGTGACTTGGCCCATAAACAGCACTGCCACAGAAACCTCAGCTTTTAATTCACAATGGCTTCACTGACTATATTATTCATATCTCCCATGTCTTAGGTGACCTTGAAGAGCAAACCTGGCTTTGTTTGTTTGCCTACATTGTGTGTGTGTGACAAAAAGTAAACTTCTCTCTTCTCTTGTCTCCTTAAGCCCAGGCTCTCCTTTTCTGCCACCTCTATTGTCTTTCTATCTCTCCTCATGCATGCATTCCCCGTCCTCACATTTTTTTTTTCTTTAGTGTTTGTACTATAAGACACTCTGCCCTTTCTCCAAATGCCCTATGGCAAAGATAGGAGTCCATTAAAATAGCCAATAACAATGCAAATTTTTTGGATTTCATTTAGCCAACTCTTCCCTAATGTTTACCATGTCATGCCTTATTGGATAGCACAATAGAGACTTTTTAACATGGATAATGAAACAACAAATGAGACAATATATGGGACAACAAATAGCTCACATTTTAAACAGAAAGTATAGGTAAAAATAGCATTTGTGTTGCCTCACAGCAGGAAGGTGGCTGGTTGGAGTTCCGGCTGGGCCAGTTGACATTTCTGTGTGGAGTTTGCATGTTCTCCCTGTGATCACGTGGGCTACTTTATCACTCATGTTTACTTTATCACTACTATTATATCACAGAAGTCATAGAACTACAATATAAAAAAAAAATTTAACAAATTTTTAGACAGTAGTTTTAATAACCTAATAACTAATATCTCTAATATCTCTAATAACTGATTTATTTTATCTTTGCCATAAAGACAGTAAAGAATAATTGACTAGATGTTTTCAAGACACTTCTATACAGCTTAAAGTGACATTTAAAGGCTTAACTACAGTAGGTTAATAAGGTTAACTAGGCTTGTTAGGATAATTAGAATTTTTTTATTTTTTTTTTATAACGATGGTTTATTCTGTAGATTATCTAAAAATAAATTAGCCTAAAGGGGTTATTAATTTAGTCCTTAAAATGGCATTTAAAAAATTAAAAACTGCTTTTATTCAAGCCAGAATAAAACAAATAAAACTTTCTTCCGAAGAAAAAAATATTATCAGGCATACTGTAAAATTTCCTTGCTCTGTTAAACATAATTTATGAAATATTTAAAAAAAGAGAAAAAAAGTTATGCTTTATGGGGGCTAATAATTCAGTTTTTGTGTGTGTGTGTGTGTGTGTGTGTGTGTGTGTGTGTTTTAATTAATTATTTATTATTCTTCTTATTATTATAATTTTTTTACAACAGTTGGTTTTTGAATCTGAGAGCCATGCAATATTCTGCAAATAATAGCACTCCTAAAGCCTCTTCATCCTTCACCATTGTGTATTATGCCGACATACAGCAACAAGCAAAAGACACATTACAGTTTGTCAAATATTGCAGCTGGTGGTCAACATAATGTACGTTTGATAGGATTTTTGAAGGATAATTCCTATTTTAAAATATTTATAATTTTGGAGACACAGTTCGTCAGCAGCCATTAGCCGGTTATACTGAACAGAGCAAAGACGGTTGACGATGTCCATCAATAGCCCCTTTCACACAGTGATATCGGTAAATATCCGGAAAATTTCTGGAACGATTTTTCCAGTACATTCAAAAAGCACTGTTCACACAGGTGAGGACGTTAGGGAATGTTCCCGGAAAAGACACACATCCATTCCAAAATAACGGTAAATTCTGACATCATTAACCAGGAATGACCTCTAAACAGCTGGGCTTATTTGTAAACATTTGACTACGTTACAAACTCTGTGGATGGATAAGTATTGTGAACAACTTCGATGAAAATATATAGTGAAACATTTTCGCATGTTAAGATGTGTATAGTATGTGTGTGTGTGTGTGTGTGTGTGTGAGTGTGTGTGTGTGTGTGCTGGCGCTCACCGGCTGCACATGCGACGCGTCAAGCAACTGAAGGAAGCAGAGCGTAAAGGTAAACAAACAACGGCATCTTATCGAAAATTATTTACACAGTTGGCGTTAAGAAGGAACATAGAAACATTATCTGACTAACATCTAGAATCTAAATGTGTCTGAAAAAATATTCAAAGGCTTTTATTTTCATAAACCGCGTGGACGTAAATGCATCTGAGTATTCTAATTGGCTAAAGTAGACGTCTCACGTCAGCGAGTTCCAGATGTGCATGCACTCTTTTCGACAATTTTCCTTCTGCGTTCACACAGTGCAGCATTCCGGCAAATTACCGGCAATGTTACAACTTCTCTTTCCTGAAAATAGCCAGAACGAATTTACCGGTATTTTCACAAAGGGCCTGTTCACACATACAGACCTTTCGGAAAGGTCTGTATGTGCGAAAGGGGCTCATAAGATGGCGACAGAGACGGCATAATAAGCCCTTAAACAGCATAATTTCTAACTGCACTATAATGGAGCTCTCCTTACACTGTTTATTCCTTCAAAGTCTATCTTTTCTTCATGTGGTATTGCTGTGCATTATTACTCAGGAAGTAACCATGTTCCTTATTATTGTAGATGTCTTTGATTGAGTGTCATTGTGTATTTTGCTTTAAACCACCTCAGGAAAAAAAAAATATATTACATGTGTAAAACTTTCCTGCTCTATATCTCTGTTGTTGGGTCAGAGATAGCAGGGGAGATTCACTTGTTACTCCAGGGCCGAATATTATTAGTTTCGGGGTTAACTCTCTTCTCTTTTAGTTGTAGTTGGTGAATGAACGAGGACACATGTAACTTGGCCCAATCATTTATCACTCATTGCGAAAAAAATAAATAAATAAATAAAAACCCTCCTGTTTTCTGTGTTTCCCTCTCCGCTTCAACAACACACACACATACACACCAAACTGCACACATGCTAAACAACAACTTGTTGGGGTGTTTGTAATCTAATATGATTATCTGTTATTATCAACGTGTTGTTTGCCATGTGTTGTTGATGTAAGATTGTATTCATTTTGATCTGAATATTCATATTGATTATAACGAGCGCACACACATACATCTGACAGCCTTCACAAAACAACAGGGAAGAGCCTAGGTGCGCCGGTCACTGAATCCAGAATACAGGCTCTCATCTCACCGCACATTCTGACTTTATATTCTGCTCTGTGTTTGTCATAAAGTCATCTGAGCTCAATGATCAGGTGTTGAATCGAAATCTGACTCCGGGGGCAAATCTGCGCCCTCACAGCGGTTTATCACAAACTTTTCATCGATTATTTTCCCCGCGATTGACAGCAAGAACAAACACAGAAGCTGATTGACAAGCACTGCTACATGTGTTCAAAAGAATCTAAAACGCCAAATAGAAAAAAATTATGCTGGATTTTCTAAAATAATACA